TAATATACCATATGATTTTTTAGAAAATTTGCATGTCAACCTTTTTTTAAAATCTATAGATTATCACATGTGAATGTTAGTTCAAGAAGTATATTCTACACCTTTTCATCTTATGAATGGCATCAAAATTGAACTATCGTTTAACAAATAGAGTAAAAAGAATAGGTGTTGCAAATCTTATTTAATGGATTAGAATTTTGATGATAGCAAACATTCATGATTTTCTACGACTGCCTTGCCTACTAACTTTTCGGGTCCACAAGATCGAGTGCAACTCAAGCCATCTCAAGATTAGGTAGATTAGGTTTGAGTTAGTTTATAATTTTTCCTTTCTTGAGTTTAATATAAATGATGTGGCTCTTGATGCTATGTAACCTTGCACACACACACATGGGGGAAGTTTTCTGACTATTAGTTAGAGTTTTCTATTTTGATCAAATCATCCTGGACGATCCACAAATCGGCCTGGATGAACTGTTAAAAACAAAAACCCTAAATTAGGGCATCTTAGTTAAGGCACCAATCATTATGCACATCATCCTGGACGATATTCGTATCAGCCGGAATGATAGGCTCAAAACAGAAAGAATCAACTGCCAAATTTATTTAGGTATTCTTTATTTTTGGATATCTTTTAGGACATCGGCCTGGACGATGCAGTACAATTATGCCTAAATTAATCTGGTAATTAAAGAAATCAATTAAGGTTTAATTACTCAATCACATTATCTGGGACAATTATAGGATCATCTGAGATGATATCTTGGACGATAGACATTAGCGAGCTTCTATTTAGGGTGATGTTTAGGAAAATTTACCTCAGATTTGAACTAATCATCCAGGATGATCATGAGATCGGCTTGGACGATCAAGCTATTTTATTATCATCCAAACATCCTTTAAAGCGATTGTTTGGACGATATTGAAGGAATTGTACTGGTCGTCCAGGATGATATTATATCAGCCGTGATTTTATGACCAAAAATCTTCTTATTGTCCCAAACTGATCGAGTTTATTGAGAAAAATTTAAACTGATCTGCCAGGATGATCCATATCATCATGGATGATAAAGTTAGTTTGTATACAATAAGAGCTATTTTAAAGCTTTTCTATTTAAGAGCTCTTGTTTTACCCTTTAACTTATCTTTTGCTGCTGCTTTGACTTAAGAGAGCCAAGAGGAGAGGAAGAGAAAGGGAGAGAGAGAGAGAGAGGATCTTATGAGGGGGAGTTTATGAGGGAGTTCACAAAGGTTGCTCCAAGAAAGAATCTGTTATCATCTTCTCCAGTCATCCCCCTTTGTTTCTTAGGGGTTCTAGAGAGGTAAACTTCAACATCTGATCAAAGTTTTATGCTTGCTTTAGGAGGAAGTAAAAGGAGTTGGGTTCTCTGCCTGGTTTAGAAGGAAACAAAAGGAGTTGTGTTATTTGCTTGATTTAGGAGGAAGCAAAAGGAGTTTGGTTATCTGCCTCACCTGGGTTGGTGCAAAGGTGGTTTGTATAGGCTTCTCCACCTTAAAGTGGGGGAAAAAGGAGAGACTGAGTTTAGTGCAATACTTAGATGGAACTTCCAGGGAGTGGATGTTGGTCATGTTGATCGAACCACTATAAATCTATGTGTTATTTATTACTACTTTCGCATTTATTTTCTGCAATTTGATTTTTGTGGTGAATCTTGGTTTTTATTTTGAGATCGTGTTTTGATCAAAAGATTTTGTAAGTACCAATTCACCCCCTTCTTTGTTAGCCTTGGGACTAGTTCATAATGGCTTAACATCCCTAACAAACTTTCTAGTGCCATTAGAGCACTTTCAAGTGGTATCATAGCGGGATTCATAAAATTAAGTTTGAAAACTTTTTGAATTTTGATTCATGGTTAACTTTGGTAATCGTAACAGAATGAAAGGATATTCTATTACGCATCCACCTTTATTTGATAATATTCCTTTTGATTTTTGGAAAACTCACATGTCTACAGTTTTACAATCGCTTGATTATTGTATCTGGATGCTTGTTAAAAAAGGTTATACACCACCTTCTCGTGAACTTAATGGCATTAAAACTTAAATTTCTTTTATTGAATGGACTTTTGATGATAGAGATTTAGTACAACTTAATGCGAAATGCTTGAACTTATTTTTTTGTGCTTTGAAATATGAAGATTATATCCGTGTTTCAACTTGTGTAACTGGTAAAGAAATTTGAGATAGATTATGTGTAACTTATGAGGGAACCAATGAAGTTAAATAATCTCGATTAATTATTGTACTGTATTATTATGAACTTTTTTGTATGAAACATTCTGAATCAATTTGTAAAATATATATAAGGTTTACTCAAATTATTAGCTCATTGCATGCTTTAGAAAGAGAGCTAACTAATTATGAAAGGGTTAATAAAATTTTAAGATGCTTGTCTTCTTCTTTTGATGCTTAGATAATTGCAATTACTGAATCTAAAGATTTGAATACTTATTTGATTGATAACTTGGATCACTAATTGCTTACGAGCAAGGGGTGAATCAAAAAAATCTTGATGTAGGTGAAAAAAAGGAGAAAATTGGGGCACTAAAGGCCAACAACATGGACACTGATTCTTCTGAATTTGAAAATGATGATGTTGTCTTCATCACTAGGAAATTCAAAAGCTTTCTAAGGAAGAAGCATAAAGACCATCAGAAGTGAAAAAGAGGTAAGGATAATAATAATTATAAAAACTATTTTGATATTGTTTTCTTTGAATGTAGTAAGCCTAGACATGTTAAACCTGATTTCCCTACACTTAAGGAGCACCCAAGCAAGGAGAATGGTGAGGAGAAACCCAAGTATAGGAAGGATAAGAAGCAGTACCAAAAAACTTTCTAAACAGATTATGCATCTGACTCCTCTGAGACTGAAGAAGAGGAGGAAACCACAAACTTGTGTTTGATGGCTAATAATCATCTTGAATAGTCTGACCAAGAAGAGGTAAGCCAACCAACCTATGATCAACTACTTGAAATATGTGAGAAAATTCATGCATCATATAGAAAACTTAAGAAAACTCATGCTAGTTTAAAATTGGAGTTTTTGAAATTATAAAAAGTGCAAGAAATTATTCTTAAAGATCATTCTACAATTAATAGTAATCACATGTCGTTACTTGATGAGTGTGATGAATTGAATAAAAAGCACTTTGAGTTGGTTATTGAGCATGATTCATTGAAAGCATCATACACCTCACTTGAATATGAATTTAAGACATACATTGATAAATCTGAGCATAGGGAGCACAATTTGAGAATTGATAATGCAGCTTTAGAAAGTGTTAACATGAGGTTTAAAGCTAAATTGAATACACTTGAGAGAAAATGGAATACATCAACACTTTTGTTATGATAGTTGATATTTGCATGCTTTACATTTTTACAACTTGTATAGTTTTGATGATTCCAAACACTATTGTTCAAATGTGTAGTTATCTCCTACCAATTTAGAAGATTTGTATTTGCTCTTGTGTGTACTAACATTTCAGAAAAATCGAACTCCAGATTACGAAGACTTCAAATCAAATTCAGCATGAGATACTTTGTGAATTTGAATCTTGTACTTTTCTTTGAAATAAATTGGAAAGGGAGTGAATGTAATTTGAGTGAATAAAAATATACACACATACATAAGGAGATCATATAAAATTTATACTGATCGTACGGGACGATATCAGTTCGTACGGGACGATCAGACAGTTATCTCCTATTGAGCACATGAAACGAATATGAACTGGCTTGAAAATTTTTTCTAGGTCCTATTCGTCCAGGATTAAATTAAATATCATCCGGGACGATTTGTTCTCTATAAGATTTTTGTCCAGACGAAATTAAATTATCGTACATGACGATTTGCTCTCTGTAAAATTTTTGTCCCGACGAAATTAAATATCATACAGGACGAGCTTGTCTCTGTAAGTTTTTTGTCCAGACGAAATTAAATTATCGTACATGACGAT